GGGGGTCTCTGCTGGCCTCCTGCTCCAGGCTGGCGTCCCCAAGGGACTGCGTGTTCGAATTATAGGTGCGGAAGGTCTGCGGGCTCTTTTTCTTTTGGGGTTTCTGGTATCACAATCAGAAAATTGGAGAGAAAGGGGAGGCCGGGATCCGGCTCCATCTTTCAGCTCGGGGAGGAGCCTTCCCGAGCTTTCCGGCTTGGGCGATGTCCGAGTGTCCACTGGGCGCAGGGCCAGAGCTCGGGTGCGCGGTCCCCGCCCCTCCCTCTGGCCCGGCTCCGCAGCCCCGGCTCGCGTTCCGGCGCCGACCCCCTCCCCGCCCTTTCCCTGGCGCAGTTCAGCCCAGCCTCCTTTCGGGGCGTACGGCGGCGGTGGCTAAAGATAGAGGACACCTCAGCAGTCCGCTAAAAATACGTCCCCATCCCGGACGGGACGCTGGGCGGTGGAGGGCGCAATGGGCTCCAGAGTGGGGGCGGGATGCAGAGCGGGCCTGGGTGCTACAGCTCAGGGCGTTGGACCCGGCGGGTGTAGGGCGGAGGGATCGGGGCGGGGTGGGGTGGAGGGCTGAGGGCGCACGCAGAAAATCCCGGGGATTCGGAGGATCCGGAGGTGCCCAAGGCGCCCACGGCGAGACCTGCGCTGAGGTGACCCCGAGATCGCGCCGCGCACTGGGGTGGGGCGCGACAGGGACGGGTGTCTTGAGGGTCCCCCCGGAGCTGCAGAGTGGGCTGCAAAGTCCCGGCCCAGACTCACCGTGAGGCACGCAGAGGGCGGGCGGCGAGAGCTGGGGAACCTGACGGCTGGGCTGCGGACAGATCAAGGCTGGGAACAGACCAGGGCTGGGAACTTACGGTGCGGACCGCGGCCCTTGAAGCCCCGCCCCGGTCTCGCGGAGCCAATGCCGGGCCGCGCAGACCTGCCCTGCTCTTGACTCCGCCTCTTGCCCCGCCCAGAGATCCCTGTCTGCGGAGGTTCAGGGTCCGCAGCGTCTTGCGACAGAGGTTCGGGCCTGCCTGGAGGATAAGGAGGCTTCAGATCCCGGGTCTGGACGTGCGGACTCTTGTTGGAGCTGAAACCCTGTATTCTAGGAAGGTCGGGGGGTAGTGGCTGGATTTCGCGGAGTGACCTTGAATACGTTCCCCTCCTTAAAACGTTAGATCCGGAGACGTCCGCGTGTGTATTCAGGGACTGAGGGCCTAGCATGCGCCCACGCAACACTATTGACTTCCGAGGGCTTTAAAGAGCTTTCCGCCCCCTAGAAAAGCAGGTAATGACAGTGAACCAGCACATTTGCGTCAAAGTGGAGGGTATGCAGCCATGCAGATTTTAACTCTTCGTTCATTCGTTCAGTCATGCATTACAAGAAACGTTTGGACGCTGGAGGTGAAATGAAGGAAGCTTGGTTCTTATTGATTCAACAGATATTTGATTCCACGTGTTGTTCCTGTCACTGGAGATTCAGACCCTCTGAATTGGAACCTACAACCTAATGTAGGGAAAGGAAACCCAAGTCCCCAAGTACACCTGGAATACACTTCCAGGTGGGTTCGTTCTAGGCGTGAGGCAGAGGAAGTGTTGGGTGGGATTGGGTGGGATGGGGTGGGGAGAACTCTCTTTCCAGAGGGTGACAGCTGTGATAGTACAGGATGATAAGGATGGTAAAGGCTTCCGTACTGTAAATGCAGGAGGGCCTTTGGGGAGGGGGGCAGGAAGGCATCCGGAATGAGATGACAGCTGGACAGGAAGGATTGGGGGGGGGGGGTTGTTTGGGTGTCAATCAAGTTAGGAGGGTGGGGATCTGTGAGGCAGGAGTGTGGTAGACAATAATAGCCCTCCCCTCTAAGATGTCCGAGTCCTAATTCTTGGCAACCAATGAGCATGTTGATGTTACATGGGGCACAGGGGAATTAAGGTTGCAGAAGGGGGTTAAGGTTGCAGGTGTGGCGCTGTGGGTTAATGCACTGGACTGCGATGTCAGATTGAACTACAGTGTCGGTGGTTCAAACTCACCAGCCACTCCTCGGAAATCCTAGATGGATCAGTACTGACTCTACGGCACTTAACAACAACAATCAGGTGTTTGTTTGTTTTTTTTCAGAGTCTTGGTGTGGCGCTGTAGTATAAGCAGTGGGCTGCTAACCAAAACTTTCATGGTTCAGATCTACCAGATCACTGCTCAAAAATCCTATTTAGGGTCGCTATGAGTTGGAACCAATGATGGCCCTAAACAACAACTGTTGTTGTTGTTGTTAAGTGCCGTCGAGTCGATTCTGACCCATAGCGACCCTGTATAGGGTTTCCAAGGAGCAGCTAGGGAGAGGATCATGGGTTGAGAGTTCTAATGAACTACAAAGTCGGTTTGAACTGCAAGGTCTGTGCTTCAAGCTCACCAGCAGCTCTTCAGAAACCCTATACAGGGTCGCTGTGTGTTGGAACTGACTCAACGGAATTTAACAGCAACAACAACATCATGGATAACTCAAGGCACTCGGGCAGCATAATGGGTTTACGAGTTGGGCTGCTAACCACAACATCAGCAGTTTGAACCTACCAGCCCCTCTGTGGGAAAAAAGATGAGGCTTTCTGCTCCAGTAATGATTCACAACCTCAGAAACTCTACACAGGATCATTATGAGTCAGAACCGACTCCACAGCATATAACCATCACCAAAAAGAAAGGGTCGATGTTCAACCATTTCAAGAGGTAGAAGACAATCAAGAGCCATTGGTACTGAGGAAGAAGTCCAAGGTACACTGAAAGCATTGGCAAAGAACAGGCTCCAGGAATTGATGGAATAAATACAAAGTGAAATATTCAACAATCTGATCTAGCTCAAGAAGCACTCACTCAGCTATGCTAACTAATATAGAAGACAGCTACATGGCCAACTGATTGAAAGAGATCCACATTTGTGCCCATTCCAAAGAGAGATGACCCAACGGAATGCGAAAATCATTGGACAATATCATTACTATCACAAGCAAGTACAATTTTGCTCAAATGGCTGCAAAAGTACATTGACAGAGAACTGTCAGAGATTCGAGCTCAATTCAGATGAGGATGTGGAATGAGGGATATCATTGCTGATGTCAGATGGATCTTGTCTGAAAGCAGAGGTTACTAGAAAGATGCTTACCTGTGCTTTATTGACTCTGCAAAGGCTTTCAGCTGTGTGGATCATGACAAGCTATGGACAACATTGAGAAGTATGAGTATTCTGGAACACTTAATTGTGCTCATGAGGAATCTGTACCTGGACCAAGAAGCAGTTGTTCAAAGAGAACCTGGGAACACTGAATGGTT